TGAAATAAACTGCAAAAGAATTGACAAGAATAGTTTCATGAAGAATAACAGTATTTTTATTTAATTTTAAAATATTATATACAGTTATTAGTTACTGTAAATGTAAAGAATGAAATTAAAGTTAAACTAAAACAATAATAAAATTACTAAAAAAATAAAAATTATGTTAAAAAATTTAAATGTATAAATATAAAGAAATGATATTATAGTAATGAAAAAGAAGATTAGAGAAAAACAAAAATAACCCTTGGGAACGTTTTGCCCCATTTGTACTCAAAGTAGCAGTTACTGAATACGAATGCTAATTTAAGGGAAAATGATTGAATCATTAATTATTAGTATAACCCAAAGTTTTGGTGACGTATCCACTCCCTTTAATGACCAATCATTATCAAAACGGTTTTGTGGCTGCCAAATAAACTCTCTCCTGCTTTAATATGAAACTGCCAAACTGGGAGTATTAAGCAACAGTACTTACGTGTATGCCAATCTATCACTGGTGACGCAGTTCCTTTGCTCCCCAACCATCGAATCGGCCGTGACCGATCCATCGGTTGATGGTTTTTATAATTCTGTTCAAGATAATGACTGCTGCCTGTTCATCTGTTCATTCTCGTCTTCTGTTAGACTGCGAATATTAGTATAGGATAGGGTTCATGCCTATTAAAAGAATACAGGTTAAGATATTTCAAATATATTTATACTATAATTATAATATTTAATATTTTTAATATATTATATTTTATACTATTTTATTATTTTTAATTCCAACAAATCATCATATAAGCATAATTTCTCTATTTTATAATGTTGTTTCAAAGTAAAAATGCTATCTTTTAAGATCTAATAAAATGAATTTTAAATTATTAAATATAATTAAAATTTATATTAAACATGGGATCTTAAAAAATATGAAAATGAATTGCTGACGTCAAAACAAGCAAGAATAATAATAGCAAAGGTTAGGATGAGCTGATAATCAAAATCAATAGGACTGCGTCGCAGGCTTGTGAAACTTCTCTCTCATATCATAGGCTTTAATCAGTAATCTTAGCTGTTCGTGAAAAAGTTATCATAGCCGTCAATTAGAAACAGATGATAGTGATTCAACGGTGACGATCGTCACGCTTGGCAAATCAACCCCACCAGCAGATGCGGAAAGGAAAGCTGCTTTTGCAGCTCAGTAGTCACTAATCAGTGAGTGTTCAGAACTGAAACAACAAATAAATAAACGGATTTATTAATATCAGCCTTAAACTGATATTAAATAATAAAATTTTGTTAAAACTATATTTAATATTAGAATAAATTATAACAACTATTGTTGATAATTTTCCCAATTTGTCGTTAAAAGAATGGAAGATGCGTCCTTTGTGATTTTACGGCTTTATCCATATACACATAGTATTTGGTAGAAAGTGAATAATGCATGCTCGTCGTAACCCTAATTGACACCCATTTTCATGCAAACAGTCTTGCAACATGCCAACATGCTATACATATCATCCATGATAACACAGTAAATAACACACGTGGTCACCTGTTTTAAATTAAGCTTAGCAGTTCTTCTTGTCCTTTGCACCAATTACTTTTAAATTAAGATATATATTATTTGTTATTTTAATTGTGTATTAATTACTATGTTAATATTTTAAAATAAAATTTTTAAAAATATTACAGTGATAAAAGGATTTTATTTTTATTATTGTGATAAATAAATGTTATTTAACCTATAATTTATGTTTTAATTTAATTATTTATTTTTAGATGCCTATTATTTATTATAATAATTTTATTTTTTTATAAAAGTATTTCTCTTTACATTTTATTAACTGTACATCGTCCAGGAAATAAATTAATTACTTATAGATTAAGATACATATTATTTGCTATTTTTATTGTACACTAATTATTATATAAACATTTAATAATTTTTTTAAAATATTACGGTCATAAAGGATATAGTGTCTTTTAAGATATTGTATTCATGAAAAGTATATAAATTACAGTAAAAAAAATAAAATTATTTTACTCTTCTTTGAATCACACGAAACAATATATGTAAAAAAATATACCTAGATAAATGCATTCCGTTACATTTAATGATTTTTTTCAAAATAATTTTACTAATATTTTATAATTCATTGGTTATTGTCTTGTTGCTCTATAATATTTATCATGGTTTTATTAACATCGATCATTAGAGTTTATTGTCAAAGTTAAGTTAAAACTTTGAATAAATAATAGTGAAATGATCTTAAGAAGAATAGCAATAAAGTAAATTTATAATTATAAAAAATATAATTAAAAAATAAATATTTTGAGATATCTGTCACGTTATTAAATTTTTTTTATGATAATAGTAATAATAATAATAACAATAATAACAAAATTTATATTAAAACATATTATTACTTTCATAAAATATTGATAAAATATAAATATCTTTAATATTTAATTTACTTAAAATAAAATTAAAATTAACTTATATTCTAGTATTGTTTTTATTATATAATTTGTAAGCAATATAATGGTGTTGCGTTAATATTTTAAATTTGTACGGTTTTATAATTTTGTATACGTACATCTCCGACCGTTTCACTTTGGTGTCGAAATTAATCCGATATTAAAATATAAAATAGTATTATGATTTTAATATATAAAAAATATATTGTCAATTAAAATTAAAAAAATTCTAAAATAAAAAATTTATAACATCATTGAAATATCAAAATACTATGAAATATTCTACAAATGTAAATTTTAATAAAAATTAAATGATATATGAAACATGAAATTTATTAAATAATAAATAACAATAATAATTTAAAAATTTAAAATTATTATTTTTTAATTAAAAAGTAATATATACTGCATTAAAATTACAAAGTACAATAAATATTTTTAAATTAAATAATGTAATTATTATTTAGTTAAATCAATTCTTAGATATAGAGATTAAAAAAATTTATTTAAAAAGATATTGTTATAACAATTTGAAAATAAGAAATAATACACCAAATTATTATAAAATTTTTATAATGATAAATTTTTTATAAATTTAATTTGAGTGCATTGTGAATGTAATCTTTTTATTTTTCATTAACTAAAAAATTTGTAAATATTTATTTTTAGGCTGATTATTACAAATAAACAAAATTATTAATGATATAATAATATATAATTGAGCGATGATGTAAAATTTTTATTCTATCGGTATATTTAAATTGAATTGAATATTTATAACGACTATTACTTTTATGGCAATAACTATTATTAAAATTTTCATAAATAATTGATAGAATTATGTTAGTTTTTTTCGGCTCTCTATCAGAAGTGTTAAACTTTTTTCTATTATAATATTATAATTTTATGTATTAAATCACAAAATGATCCCTTATTAAGACACAGTTATATTGTTGATAAAATAATATAAATTAATAATATTACTAAAATATTGAAATTAAATTACTGATCATTATTAGAAAATTATGTTTTTTTTATAATATTTTAATTTTAATAACACGATATCACTAAATAATTATATACATTAAAAACACACAATTTATAAAAATATGAAAAATGATGAAAATTTATTTTCCAAAAAATATTCTAAAAATGAACCAACATTTTATTTTTTGTAATTTTTTGTGACTCTTTTATTAGGCCAGAACAATTTTTTTGTGGTTAAAATTTGATCACTATAATATGTTTGAAATAATTATGACGGGTAAAGTAAAGCAATATATAATTAAATAAAACTTAATAATTTAAGAAGTCAATAAAATGATAAGAAAAATATAACTATTGAGATCGTTGCATTTTATAAGTCTCAAAGTAAGTTAAAAGAAAGAAGGATTGAACGAAATGAAATAAAATAAATTTTCTGAGTTTTTAATCTTATTTTAAATAATTTAAACAACATCAGATGTCATTCTTTTAGATATTTTGACAATGTGTTACATTTTAAATTCTTAATTTTCGAATTTTATATGGATGTTTTATATAATATATAATAAGTAAACATGATATAATTTTTCATCAATAAGTTACCGGTACAAAATAAGGATAAAAAATTTGTAGTTTAGATGGAAGATATCCCAACCACATGAAATATACATGTGCATCTCTCATTACACATGATTTTAGTAGATGCATCCACATTATGGGGCGAAGGAAGCAGGGAAAGAGAGTATTAAAGGTAATCATTACAAATGGGGTCATGATGGCAACGCGTCCTTCCGTATAAAATAAATCATTCAAAATTAAATTAAGAGGAACATCTCCACAATACTGCGCAGCCATAGCCGCCACTTCCTCATCCCCTTGCCCCTTCCCCTGCCGGTCCTAATTACTCTAATACAATCATTTTATTCGTTTTCCGTCGTATTATTACCGCTGCAAGTTATAGAGCGAGAAAAATTTACCCAAATAAATTATTCTTTTTGTAAAATTTAATGCCCAAGAAAAAAATCCCCCTATAAAGAGAAAATTTAACAAAGGAGAATAGACAAAGACGTATTCAAGCTCATTTTTAAATTATAAATATACAATTGGAACCTAAAGCAAAGCAAGTGTAGATTCTGGAGAGAGAAATTGAAATAAAAAAAAAACCGAAAAAAGAAGTGCTCAAAAGTTGAGTATTTAAAGGCCGCAAGAGGTCTTCAACTCGTACCTCTGCGAGTGCCAACTGACTAAGAATAAAAGCAGAAATATCTGAATACACAGTTCGCTTCTTCTTCTTGTTTCTTTCTCAATCGTCTTGGCTCGCAATTTCCTCTTATATAAATATCACTGATTTTTTTCCAAATTGTTGCGATACCAAATCATGTCGTGAACACTCAGCCTCTGCTTCGCGTTTCAAATTACGAAGCCTTGCTTATAGCACAGTGCACACGTTGATGAGTCTTGAAAAACCTGCGTGTTGCTCACTCACACAACTCTCTCCACCTGTTATCTATAGAAGGCCATAATTCGTCTCCCCTTCATTTTTAGCAAACATGGCTGAAGAGTCAATAGCCAGGGTGGTTGTGAGAAAGTTCGACCCTATTAAAGACAGAGAGAGAGTGGAAGCGGTTGAAAGGAGTTGTGAAGTTGGACCCAGTGGCAAGCTTTCTCTGTTCACGGACTTGCTCGGTGACCCGGTATGCAGGGTTCGCCACTCACCTGCTTTTCTCATGCTGGTATATATTAATTCTCCGCCAAATTGATTTCTCTTAAGTTAATTAAGCAAATCACAAAGTGATCATAAGATGATTATTTTGCTAACAGGTGGCGGAGATAGGCGACGAAATAGTAGGAATGATAAGAGGTTGCATAAAAACGGTCACGTGCGGAAAAAGGTTCTCAAGAAACGGAAAGCACAACAACACTGAAGCTACAAAAGGGAAACACGTTCCAGTGTACACCAAACTCGCCTACATATTAGGCCTCCGCGTTTCCCCTAATCAACGGTACGTTCTTATTCAACGAATAACCGTAACAAAGACTAAATGGTAAATGCCAATGACGTGGCGTTAACTAGAGTTTTTTTCTTTTTTTATGTTAATTCAGGAGAATGGGAATAGGATTGAAACTAGTGCACGAAATGGAGGCATGGTTCAGAGGTAATGGAGCTGAATACTCGTACATGGCAACGGAAAACGACAATTTAGCGTCCGTTAAGCTCTTCACCGACAAATGCGGGTATTCAAAGTTCCGTACTCCGTCCATCCTTGTCAACCCCGTTTTCGCCCACAGAGCCAGAGTGTCCCCAAAGGTCACTATCATTCCTCTCACTCCCTCTCACGCTGAGGCTCTCTATCGTAACCGCTTCGCCACCACAGAATTTTTCCCGCGCGACATTGACTCTGTTCTGAACAACAAGCTTAGCATCGGGACCTTCCTTGCAGTTCCACGTGGGTCCTACAGCGCCGAGGCATGGGCCGGGCCAGATCGTTTCTTGTCGGACCCACCTCACTCTTGGGCTATGATCAGCGTCTGGAACTCCAAGGAAGTGTTCACGCTCGAGGTGCGTGGCGCGTCGCGCGTGAAGCGGACGCTGGCTAAGACGACGCGCGTGGTGGACCGGGCCTTGCCGTGGTTGCGGTTGCCGTCGATTCCGAACTTGTTTAGGCCGTTTGGGTTTCATTTCATGTATGGGCTTGGAGGGGAGGGCCCAGAGGCTGTGAAGATGGTGAGGGCCCTGTGTGGGTTCGCGCATAACCTTGCCATGGAACGTGGGTGCACGGTGGTGGCTACGGAGGTGTCCACGCGCGAGCCCTTGAGGTTCGGGATACCCCACTGGAAGATGCTGTCTTGTGAGGCTGATTTATGGTGTATTAAGAGGCTGGGTGAGGATTACAGTGATGGTTCCGTTGGTGACTGGACCAAATCTCCCCCTGGCGTGTCCATTTTTGTTGACCCCAGAGAGGTCTAAGGAGTCAACGTCTAATTCGACTTTTTGGTTCTCTGTCTTTTTCTTTCTTTTCTCTCTCCTCTAATTGTGTGTATACTTTGTCAAATATATTATCTAGTTAGGGTAACGACTTGAAGGTGGGAATGGAGAGAATGTGCGATGTGTGAATTTTTGTTTTGCTAAGTTGAAGGAATATCCTCTCACCTTTTGTTGTTAGGAATTAACTTTTTCGTAAATGGATGTGCCTTTTCAGATCCCTTTCCACACAAATCCAACCTTCATTTCCGGTGTTATTTACCTATCATCCTTCGGATTTTGGACTTGCCTACTTATATTACTATTATTTTACTAAATATAAATATTCGAATCTATAACCATGCCACACTTTTATATCGATAATGGGATATGGCTTTAGAAGGAAAATAAATCTACGGAATATGAACTCGTGTGTGAATCCCAATATCCTTTTGTGTTTGGGCATGTCATGCTGCTAATCTTTTCTGAAAGAACCTTTTGGCCCAATATCTTTTCTTTATTTTTCACATTATATATATCTAGATCATATGCCCGCAGGTGAGGATCCTATTCTTATCCTGCCCAATTTTGTTTGATTGTTGAGTTCTTATTAGTATAGTATTTCTTAATGGTGGTAGCGTGAGTCAATTGGCTTCCATTAAGCTAAAATATTGATGTAAGCCTACTAATGCGGTTATTGGTCCTTTTGAGGCGCTCTTAACTTGGTATTTGCTATACAGTTGGGAGGGCATTAAACATACATATTCAATGGGACATGCGCTTTCTTGTGTGTGAAATGAGAACTTTCGAGTTGTTTGCCGATGAATGATTCCTCTCTCTCAGTGAGACATTCCGTTGAAACGGTTGAACAGTAACTTTCTCTCATCACTTTTATTTTCAATGTTAAAGCGAGAAAACGTATGCAGTCAAATGTTGTCATTATTTCTTGGAACCCCAGTGAAGCCACCACTTAGACTTAGAATGTCTATAATTACTTTTATGACATTAGTTTTGGATGTAAATATACTCTTGATTAAAAGAAGGAAAGATATAAGAAAATAATAATAATATTCACGAAAAGGTTTTAAAATAGTGGACAATTTATGTTTCCTATAAAAATGTATTTTTTCCACACTACTTTTGTTTGAAACTTGAGAATTTTGGAAAGAAAACGCTGGAAAGAAATAATGAGATTTTTTTCAGTAGTTTAATCAATTAAGGAGAAAATAAAACTAGGATGGCAAATAGTGGCTAATCATAAATGCGTAATTGGTAACATATTTAGAATATATTTTTATCCACGTTCGCGTAGAAATTATTAAGCCCTATTATAATATGAAAAAAAGGATTTATATCAATTTTTTTAAATTTATAACATAATCATATCATGTTATTTAATAATATTAAATTTAGTCTCTTATTGTTTTTTTTTATTAACCAATACATTATAAATAATATGAATATTAAAAAATAATAATAGGTGTTGACGAAAAGGTATAATATATGCACAAATGCAAAGTCATAAAGTTTTGTGTGCTAAAAAATAGTTTCGTTTCTTTTTCAAGGGATAAGAGGTGGTATAATTATTAATTATTATTTAACGGAAAAAGTGTACTAATCGTCATCATTATTATTTTTATCAGTTACCATACGTAGAAATAATAATTAAATAGATGTTACAGAATAGAAATCGTATAAATTAAAAAAAAATAAGAAAGCAACTAAAAGGTATTAAAATAAAGAAAAAGTAAAAAAACAAAATTAAAATTATTAATAATTATATATACAGAAACATTTTAAGTAAGAAGAGTTTATTATTATAAAAAATAAAATAAAAATTAATTAACAAAAAAATAAAAAAATAAAATTTAAACTCTTTATTTAATTTAATAATAATAATTATTAATTCTCTCAATTTTTATAATAACAAAATTGTCTCACTTAAAATTTCATATTTTGCATGTAAAACTGCGAAATCGGTGATGGGATAATCATCAGCTTCTCAAATGGGCTGGGGACCGGTCTAGTTTCTCTCTGCTCCTGCATTTTCGTTCCTTCACACACGTATACACCGAGAGAGAATTATTAAGCACAACGATTTTTTTAACAAATGTTAAATGTAAACATAAAAGTAAAAACCCACTTCTTCTTTTTCTTTTGCATTTAACTTATCATCTAACTAATGAAAAGTGGTCAGCACAATTCCGCGATGCATTGGAAAGAATTTTATTTGAATTATATAACAAGAATTTTATTTTTAAAATTCTAAAGATTTTGCAGTTAAATTATCTTTGAAAATTAAAAAAGCAGGAAAAGAAGTATAGGCCTCTTGAGGGAATGGAGGGTTGACGGGACCGAGTGATAGACAAATAAGTACATAAAAAAAGAGAATTTTGTTTGGATTTGATGTGTTCGATTCAAAATAATTTCTGTGGGCGTGAGGAAAAGTAACGCATGAAAGGAATGGTGATGGATCCGAAGTGGCCACAATGCACTAAACTCAGTACTCACAAGTGCCATGAATTAGGAGTTAGGACCAACAAATTAATGTGAACGCCAAGTGGCATTTTTATCCTTTCTTTCTCACTTGATTATTTTCCTTTTTATCATATCTTTTTGGGGCTTGCCATTCCCCACTCCCTTTCATTTTTAGCTAATGGGTTTCCCATTCTTGTTAGGACATGACTACAAGTTGGAAAGAGATAGCTAGAGGACAACATGGTAATTTTAAGAGTCAAAGCAACTCCATCAAAAGGGTAGATGGAGTTGACCGCGCACCTAGTGTACCTACTCACATTATTTAAAAAGTGTAGTGCTACATATGAAGTTATCGTTCAACCACACTTACGTACTGTCCCTCAATTATGCTACTTCATTTGTTGTTTGAGCAAACAATTACTGGAGAGGATTAAAATCTAACAATTTAAATCAAAATAAAGAAGATTTTTTTATTTTAAAGAGGTTCGGTGTTACTATCTTTCTCTCTCTCTCTCTCTTTTTCTTCCAATTTTCTTATGTCATCAAGAATTTCATTTCATCTCAGAGTATAACATTAAACAATTAAGATATGAACTTACGTGACAGTAGTTGTGTTTATAGTAAAAGTTGTATTAGAAAATTAGGCCTTCTAAAGATAGTGATAGCTCTTTTTCCAACTGCACGCGTTATTAATTTTTCTAGCAATTGAAATGACATTGCCTAAGGGTACAAGTTTTAAGGTGTTCAACATCGAACCTAGTCCTTAGTTGGAAATTGGGGGTCGACAATTCGGTAGTCTATGATCTAAAAGATATAACTTCACTTAATGTGAATTTTTATAAGAGTAAAATATTGTTAACTCATTGATGCCAATAAATAAATAAGTAAGAGAGAAAAACACGTTTGAGTTCAACTGAAAATTATTAGAAAACTGGGAAGTTAGTTGTATTCATGTGCCTTTGTTGATTTAATAACTTCAATTGAAATAAATATTTTCAGGTAACGTTTGCATAATTTTTCACACATCATGGTTTACTTTAAATATTACGTTTACCCCATGTTATGCATCTACACTAAACAAGCACGCATATTTGAATAATTCCACATTCACATGCCTTTTGTCATGCAACATTGCAAACAACTTCAAGTAAAAAATAAACTATTTTAAGCATTAGACGGTACTATAGCATTATTCACCCTATATACTATTGTATATCTTTAAGTCTCAAGTATAATTAATTGAAACCTTTTGAGTGTGAGATTTAAAAAGTTATTGAATATATATAACTTCGTAAGAGGCAAGAGCTTCAAATTTAGGTGTGTGAGAGGGTGAACATTGACAACGGAGAGGGGTTTGGGGGAGGCATTTCTTTTACTGTGAGATTAATATTAATATATTTAACTTTTTCATTGAGGAATTACAACCGGTAAATTGCAAGGATGGTTGAGTTAGAGAGCTAATCCATGCATCGAGCAATTATTCCGTGTGTTCTGCATATACAAGTCCATTTCGAGTGTTCATGATGATTATCTCAAGATGTTTCAAGTAGTTATGGAATATATAAATGGGTGCCTATGAAAGTGATTATTTGTTCTTGAAGAGTTGCATTAGACAAGATATCTTCTAAGGCTTGTTTGCGAGAGAAAGGAGTCTTACATTAACATCAGAATGATACTTATCGTGCTTGTTATACAATTTTAAAGGACACCACACGTCTTTTTTAATGCAGAATCTTTTAATTTCACAGGGTATGGATGGAATGCTAAAAATGGTTTGGGTTCTGTTCAGTTTTACATAATGACTGCATATTTCAATTCTTTCAATAAAATATCATACATTTAAATATCTCTATTCCTAAAAAATCTAGAGATGTGGCTTATAAATAAAGGGTAAAAAAAAAAAACTATCAGAACAATTCAAAATAACATATGAGTAGGTAATTCGTACCAAATATTAAAAATATAGTTGCAAACTAAACATCAAAAGAAACATAAACTAGAATTTATAAATCAATTGCAAGAGTACAATCCTAAAAGAGTCCATTAAACTCTACCCAGAAGAAGTTCAGCAACATATTGCAAAGATAAACAAATATATAAAAAAATCCCCTTAACTATCCTCTAGTGAAAAAAATGAGTTGGGAAATCTTCTCCATTTATTACTCTCTAACCTCCTCCAAGTGTGGCTTCTGCCGTCTCTTCTCAGAATGGTAGCTGTTAACATATGAAAACCGAAATTTTGAAAACTTACTGATATGAAAATTTAGAAGACAGAAACCTAAAATTTGAGCTCAATATGACAGTTAACATATAGATATTTTATTAAGGAATTAGTGCGGAAACTGTTAGCTGGGGGGTGATTTCATTATGTTCTCATGTATTATTATTATTATAGCATTTGGGGTTGTGGAGTGAACTGGTTTTGATTTATATATATAATTACTATAAATATGATCAAACTGGGCACAACTTGGTCTCAGTTTGTTGTGTAATAACTTTTATGGTTTGCCTATAAAACAAAATAGGGTGTCTAAGTTTTTGAAAATCAACGTGCATACGTTTTCCAATGCTGTTATGTCGTAAAAAAGGAATTTAAATTCTTTCATATTATTGATTGAAATAATGACTTGTCTCCGTTAGTAATAGAACTCAGTGATTTAATATGATTAAAATTGTACTTTTTCTATCCTTAATATGATCGTATTATAATATTGAACATAAGAATATCCCAATCCATAGAAAAGTATACGCGTTTTATCATTTTATGGTTGACTGGTTGTGCTCTATAATTGTAAAATATAAGAAATAAGACAACTAAAATTCTCTTTAATTCATGATAAAAATATCAAGCATCAAGAACTCTTACAATATAGTTTTTTTTTCTTGATCAGCAATCTTTCCAATTTTAAAATTGTCAAAGTGTTAGGTTCAAAGGTCTCCTCCATCTTCGTTTGTAATTATCTGATATGAACATTAAAGGAAAAATAAAATTAATTAAAAAGAAGACCAAGAATGCACGAATGATCCCTGTCTTCCCACGCCCCCCTAAGCCCAAATAAGAAAATTAATGAATTGACTTACACAACAACCCCAAGTTTAATTATTAATATTGGTCAGTTTTATTATTTAAATTGTTAAAAATTAATATTATACACATAATATGTATACTATACAATTTAAATATTTTTATATACATGTATCATAAAAATAAAGACACCAATAAGTATCTTTTTTTAATGTTACAAGAACATTATTAAGAATATCCCACAAGTCTATAACTAAACCACGTAGTATTGGCATTAGTCAATTATGTGTGTGGAAGCGTTAGGCAAGGTTCAAGCATGCTAAGTCTTGCCTAATTGTCACTAATTATACATAATTTAGGTGTGGAAGCTCATTCTTCGAGTCGCATTTCAGAGTTTAATAAGATTGGTCATAGATACTTGTACGGGTCAGGTCAGAGACAGAAAGAAGCATGAAGGAAAGTGATTGCCATTTTGCCATGAAAAGAGAGAGACAGAGAAGATTAAATCATGGTTTTTTTTTTATTGAGAGAGAGGTGCTTGCCGTGAGTATTTTTCATTTTATTTTCCGCCATTTCCTAGTTTAATGGATTGATTGATTAGTTTGGGTTTAAGGACAATGACGAATCACTAATTATAAACTTTCAAGTCAAATTGGACGGCATTGATTTATTTATTTTTTGTACATACTCAACAATTTATGTTTACTCCCTTGATTTTGAAATGCACCATTTAAGATCACTGTCAAAATTTTTAAATTATTAAGCATCAAATATAACAAAAAATATATATTATTTTATATTTCGTACAAAAAGACAATATTTTTATTAATATTTTAACTCGTGTTATAAAGTAGCAATGAACAACCATATATTTAAAAATTTACAGATTCTTAATTTTCTAAAATTATAAATTAAAGTAATTCTCTAAACCATAAATATTTTGAAACAGACATAGCATTATGTGCAATCAACTTAAAAGAACAAATTTTGAGATTGATTACACTAAAGGATAAAACTTAAATGCAATTTTATATATATATATATATATATATATATATATATATATATATATTATGTTGTCTCGAATTAAAACTGAAAGTTTCACTCAGTCACTTATATCAACTTTAAATACCAATTTTTATTGTACAAATCATCAAAATAAAAAAAAAATCATTATAATTAAAAATAACGCTAAAATTACTTTTACAAACTACAGTTAATTTTGTCTTTTACACAAAACATATATGCGTACTGGAACATAAACAGGGTTAATGCTTGAATTGGTCGATCAATTTTGGGAAGCTTTGTTAGCTATTTTCAAGTCAAAGACACAAGTGTGGAAATTTTACCTGCTAGCACTATCTTGTAAGATAAGCTTATCTCTTCCCTCTATCTACATTAACGTGGGATTAGACATATTTGACCCCATTTGCCGGAAAGATAATGTGACAATTAGTCTTAATTAATATTATCCTCAGAGGTTCACATGTTTTTGAACGGGATTACCTAATAATCGTTTTGTTTGACATATAAATCAGAAGGGGAAGCAAGAGAGAAAAAATATGCATTAACAAAATTTAGTTGACCTAATCATGCATTTAATTTGATTATTAAACTGCACGCTGATTATTGGTATCTAATTTAGTTCCACAATTACCTATTATTTTATGAATTTGGACCTCTGCAATAAAAAAAAATGATAGCAGGATCTGCAGTTTCATTTATTATCATTCTTTTTTCTAAATATATTTTTTATTAATATTTTATTTTAAAAAAGTATTTAGTAATAGTTGAAACTAATGACCGTAAGAAAAAATAACTGTAGAGATTCGGATCCTTATTTCTTTCATCTGTTCTTTATCTGTTAATTTTTTATTAATATTTTGGTGAACGCAGTGCATTGTACTAAAAAGAAGCAAATGATAATTAGGGTGGTCGATAGATTCATTGGATTTGGAGCTTGGGCCAGAAAAGTTGCCTGATAAGGCTGAAAGAAGGTTCGAAATTGAACTAGACCTTTGAGAACAGAGAGGCCCAATATATAAAGCCAGTAAAACGGCCCAGCTTAGTTATTTTGAGGCTAAACTGCTAGGCCCAAATTGTAATAGTTCAATTTAATGAAGGGCCTACAGGTGCCAAAGGTCTTATTTGAAGGTTTCTAATAAAATTTAAAAAATACGAATCACTTTTGAAAATTAAATTCTGAAAGTCCTTTGATTCGAATGGTTGTCCCCAAAAAACATTAAAAATAAAAAAGGAAAGTTTAGTGGAACGTGACCTGTTTTCATTCCACCGTAGGGGAAGAAAGAAGTATTCTTCCAAATTTAAAACTAGACAAAAAGAAAATTGATTTAGAAGTATAAAACATAAAAAATAATAAGAAATGACTGAAATATTGTATTATAATCTCTGGTAAAAAAAATTCCTTTTATTATATTTCCCTCCAAATTTATACTCCTATGGGGTCAGTTATCTTATGATATGAAATGAAATATATATCTCATTCCGCACTTTAGATATGTAAAGGTGAATCAATTTTTCTTTCATTTACTGTTTGAAAAATACGTTAAACGATAATATTTTGTCTTCATATTACTCATTTAAATACACCAATTTTTAACTATTTTTTACTCAAAAAGAAAGTACAACCATTTTTTACGTACTGTCCAATAATGGTGTTTACCAAATAAAAGTTAAATTTGACTAGTGCCCCACAAAGTAAACACGATTATGGTTAGATTGGAACTAGCGAACAATCTCAGCTTACCATGTCAAAAATGGCTAAATTGATTACTCTATAAAACAAGCCCAATGTTGATGTGATTCACATCAATTAAACTATATTGGCAGTTGATTATAGTTAGTTAACCTCCTTTAGGCTTAAAAACTGCTTACAAATCTCCATTAGTAGGGATTCAGACAAGGCAATAACATTCTTTTTCTCATTATAGTACAACAAAACTGTGTCACTCCTTGAGCTCATCTCTAATCTAATCAGACCGTGATAGCTGCTTTGGCAATGCTTGCCAGAGCTCCATTGAAGAATCAGCTACAAGATGTCAAGTAAGCTCTATCTCCTAATGTTTCCACCGTATTATACAACAACAAAGTGCTGCTTTTAAGTTTGCAAAACATGTTCTAAGACACTGAATGCCTTCTACTTCTAGATGGTGTTGACTTCGTCTCCTCTACAACTGTAGAAGCAGGGCTTTCAGATGTATCAGAGCTAGTAATCTCACCATTCTTCTCTCTGCTTGACCAAATCTTGGAGAATATTTTCTTTGACATGAGGAAACCTCTCATTTTATTTGCAGCTAGTTTTTCAGTATTGCCTTTAACACCATCATTGCTGTTTCTGTCACTACCTTGACTACCTCCACCTGTGAGTTTCAGTGCTGCAAGTTCCCCTTTGAGAGCTTTTATGTCTTCTGCTGTTGCCACAGCATCCCATTCCTCTTCTGTGTTGGTTGTGGTAGACCTTGAGCTACCATGAGATCCAACAGGGTGCAAGGCCCTGATAGAACCGGGAAGATCAGGTGTGCTGTTGCCTCCGGATGCTGTTGTAGCTCTCAGTTGCTCAAAGAAGAGAACCTGCACAACGACACGCAAAGGAAGCCGCTCATTTTGCACGGCGTGCATGCAGGCATCTGCAGACAACTTCCTGCAGTCCATCAACCTGCATATCCTTTTTCTCTCGCTCTTGCTGATTCCAGGATGTTCCTGCATAACATGGTAGTGTCAGTCTGTGAAACTTGTTACATCAATGGAATCATTCAGTGTATGTACAGGTTCAATGACAGTGTAGGTCTACATAGTTTGAAATTTTGTAATTGTGTTTCTATAGATTTCTATAGTTGGGTCCTTATTTACCCCTTTGACGCTTTGTTAACCTTGTTTTAGTAAGGAGTTCATATTCATAGCAGCCAATTGGAATATATCCCTAGAGGAAACAACATATGTATATATGTCTACATATATACTGAAAACTGAATTTTCCTATTTGAGTTGTCCAACGGTTGAAACCTCAGGATTACCACTTTAAAGGAAAAAATTGTTAAATATTTGTAGGTAGAGAGTAAAAAATGAGTGACTGAGAGAATGAAAACAGACAAGATGAGCATAATTGAAAAGCTGGAAAACTTAATGTATGAGGAACTAACCTTTAAATACATGTCAATGGCACGATAAAGGCCATCATGTGAAGGTCTTGGGAAGCTTGATACCAATTCTGCAAGACTGACAAAATTTGAAAGAGGCAAATTGGGATCACGTGCAATCTCAGCAAGGTAACCATCCACTAGTTTTGCCACCTTTATCTTATTAGAAGGATTTGATGCCATCTGTGGGCTTCTGATCTCCAGCAATTCATCTTCCAATAGAGGTTCAATCTGAGATTGCTGCTCATGGGCTACAAACTCTTCAACTAGCCTTTGCACTGTATCAACATCAAACATTGTTGTTTCGCCAACTGGTGCACAAATCAAAAGATCAGCTACTGTAGCCTCTTCAAGACACTGGCCTATTCTCTTTATTAGATCAGATCTCTCTGAGACTTCACATTCCAAGAGAGAAGCTGCTTTTAATAACTTCAGCAAGAAACTGCAAGAGACAGAGACCATATCTGCTGGCAATAGATTGACAATAGTCTTCAACACTAATCTATTCTTTATGATATCGCCGCCCTGGATAACACTATTGTTGAATCCAGGCAACCTTCTGGAGGCATAAGCATTTAGAGCTTCTCCAATTACAGCACCAGAAACATTTCCATTGGTTGTTATTGTTGATATGACTCGCTTATACAGATCAAGTTGGAGGTCACAAAGGTCTTCCACCCACCAGTCCTTTGGAACAATCTGTTGTTTCCTCACACCATTCCAATGTGGATCATTCCCATTTTCAGATGGAAGTTTTTTCCTGTTATAAGTGTATGACCACTCCACCTTGGATGGATCCATTGAAGCCTTGGTAGCTATGGAGTCCAGGCAATGGCTCATTACCTTAAGTTCCTCTGACCATGGTAGAAGAGACTTGGTAGTTTGAAGAACAATAATTGAGTCTTTCCAACTCCTGAAGATGCTGGAGTTTAGGAAGACTTCAATCTTGTAAATAAGATTTCCTTTCTCAACAGTTTCATACATCTCAAGATACTCTGCTGCACAGCGAGTTGCAATGACATTGTATGCATTGAGAGTTACTGTCATACCATAACAGAACTTGGCACATATTTCAAATGCAATCGGTCCACCAGGAATGTCATGGATATGAACTTCATCGTTGTTCTCCTCATTTGTGTCTGTAACCAACTTTTGCAAGCGTGCACTTTTGGACAAAAGTGGAAACTACAGATAATAATCAGGTAAAGATCATGATCAGTAGTTGAAAGGATAATGTAGTCCTTAATCAAACCAAATAATAAACTTATGCAGAAAACATAAACGTATTGAAAAAAATAATTGTCTACAATAGTTGCAAAGACAAGTATTCTGCTTCGCAAATTACACAAATCCATTATGAACTTGTGTGTATGTGCGTGTGTGTATATATATATATATATGACAGATAATGTCCACAATCTCAGCTTTCAACTTCAGTTACTAGAATAATTTGTCTACAGTAAAAAGTCAAACCAACAAAATCAACTGAATGATTATGAACAAATACATTATCTGACAGATCCTAAACTCTAGTTTTTTTAGAGAGTCAAATTTTCCAGTGTGTTCAAGGAAGGGAAAATGAATGTTTTTTCATACAAAAAGGAAACAAATGTTGAACCATATCCTTCCCTTCCATCATCAGACCTTTGTGGCAGTTGGATTGAATTACAGACTTCCCTATCGAGTAAAAGGAAAGAGTCATTGTTCAAAACGAAAGATTTAGCAGTTCATATCTCATGTCAGCTACATTTCACATAGTTATATCACCTCAACGTCAGATACAATCTTACCTTATGGAGGTAAAATTTTACATCTCCAACATTAATGACTATATCAGTTGCCAACTCAGTCGCCACATACCTGGAAAATATATGTTGGTACACGTTAGTTCTAAATGGAATAAACAAATCTAGAAGGAAAATAAAATGCCGTGAAATTTATTGAACCTACTGCGGTATGACAAGCAATCTGTAAATTTTCTGGCATGCACATATTTACTGCAAAAAAGGGGGAAAAAAAAACTGTCTTTGTTCTCAAGTTGCTGAAAACACGTTTGTTGTACTAAAATTTGTAAACATGGATGTAATATTGTCCAAAAATATGATAAAGGTGCAGAACATAAAACCAAATATGGATATGGCCACTCCTGAAATTCAGTTCAGGGCTTAAGAAATGCCCACAAGTTTGATTTTGGAATAGTAAAAAACTGGGAATGAAATTCAGGTCAGAAGCTTTTTTAACAAAGGAAATTTTCTCACTTAAATCGTGCCTATAAATATTGATGGAAAAGTGAGCTAGTAACAAAAGTAACTCCTAGGTCCTATACATGTTTAGATAGAAGTACATAATGCATAGATAAGAAGAGTTTAAGTTTGATCCAACTCTCAAAAGTGACTTCCACACTCTACACGGGAAAGTATACATCATTGGATAACCAAGGTTTTTAACTTAAGGAAAAATTCTTTAACATGTTCTAAACAGGTGGTATCACATGGTTCATTGCTCGGTTTTCTATTGGAGTTGAGAATGCACCCAGACTTGTGTCATTTACCGTATCACAGACACACTAGGTTCCTAGACACACTTTTGATTTGTAGTTACATGTATCTAACATCCACAGAAGTAACAGAAAAACTGAACCTAAGTGATGGTATATCCAACTGTCACTTTGCATCTACTTCATACTAATCCCCATGACAAGGTTGGTTTTCTTGATTGGACTCCAGGAGGTCCTGTTAGAGTTAAGGGAGAAAGGGAAATACAGATATGGGGAATTGAACCCCTACCCACATTCAGCAGAGACGACAAAAATATCATTAAGGTATTTTCCACCGATTATCCCTATTGAGTTGGTAAAAGGTTCTGAAAATGGGTTGTTTATATTTACTAATTAAAAATAGAACTTCAAACACATCGATCCTAAAACAATCAAGTAAAATGATGAGGTGAAATCTATTTTCAACAAAAAATAATGGGTCGGCATCTTCATCCAACAAGTTGAACTATTAGGATTTAGAAGAATAAGATTTTTCCCAATGAGTTGCTGAAAGAGAAGTCAAAATTCTAATTTCTTTTTTTGTTGTCTTTTACGTGAATAAAAGGGTCCACCAAAAAACAAAATAGTTTGCCTTGATTTGATATAGTAGTCCAGTCAACTATAGCCTATTGTTCAGAGAAGAGGGAAGACACAAGAACACTAGAAATATGAGCTGAAATCCAACAAAAGGAAGGAAAGTATAAAGAACAAATCATCAATAAGAAGTCCACAACATATAATTCTAAGCAAGAGAAAAACCGATCTCATACCTGACATTATCTCCATCAGTCTGAAAAGTATCAGGCTTAGATCCAAGTTTCATAAACTTCATCTTGACCAAAGTAAAAAGCAAAAGCTCCGTTTCCTTATAGGAACCCAATTCCTAACCTTCACTACAGCTTCAAACACCTACTCCGCCGCTTCCCGGGTATGCAAAGCAAACCACCTACTAGGAGTTTGGATTAAAAAAAAAGGAAAGAGGGTAACTTGCTAGTAAAGTCCAAGGTGATGAAAGAAAGAAAGAAAAAGATGAAATATAATTGTGGTATAGTTGAGTTGCTTCCTTCCTAGTATGACCGAATCTTTCTCACAAAACGAGGCCAGTGAGAGAGAAGGTAGAAATGGGATATTATTCTTTTCTAACTTGAATGGGAAGAGACTCAAAAAACAGGTTGCTTACTAAATTGGTAACAAAGTCCAAGGAGTCCGGCAAAGATGACCATGTTAGGAGACATAACCAACAGAAACAAACTACCTCCAACACAAATATTTATATACTAATTCCCTCAAAGGTAGAGTTTTAAGACTTAAGAGACACCCCCACTTGCTCAACACTGACACCACCGCCCCACTCTCTATTAAATATGTTGTTCCTAACAATGGATTTAGACACCACCACCAACACCCTTTCTGCTCCGCAAAGTTCCACAATCAACATTCCTTCATTGGCCACGTTTCTAGTTCTGTCCCAGCTTTGAAGCCAAGCTCCTCCTGCAACAAAAAACAGCATATCTCGGTATGAGTTGAGAGAACCACCGATGTAGAAGACAAAAGGCATCATTTTCGTGGTTTCTGCTGCAAACATCATTGCACACGTTTGACGCTACCACGGGAAAAATAAGATTTTTTTTCTTTTTGAAGAAAAGAATACGTAGGTGGAAGACAACCACGTTTTCTCAGAATTTAAATTAATAAAGCTGCATGGAAATCAACCCAATCGAACACTAATGATAATGATGGGTTTTAGCCAAATAACAAACAGAGAAATCCACAAGAGATTTTCATGCCCATGCTTAGCTTCAAAACGTAAAACACAACTACAAACCAAAAACATCGAGAGAGCAAAAGTAAGAACAATCAAGCATAGTTAACTCAATACAGAAACCTGGAAGAAGGGACAGAAATCAATATAAATAGGAAGCATGTTTATATGCATAGCTACCAGAGGCAGAAGTTTGTTCCCGTTCTCTGAGCAAACATATGAGAAAACAAAGTAGGGTGGCAGGAGAAAGAGAGTGAAACTAGTAGAAGCAAGTTACAAGGAAAGTTTAGTTCGTGGGATGTGTGAGTACGAAGAATCAAAATAAGAAGTGGGCACGACAAGGAACACAAAGTTCACTATATTCTCAAAAGAACCCCCACATATCACAGGAGCCACCCAACCAAACCCAAAAGATCACCATCCAAAAAGATGAGCTGTTCCTCATCTTTTGACAGCCACCACAGCTACACAAACACAAAAAGCCAACCAAGATCAGAATGTTCCCACTCTCTCTCTCTCTGTGTGTGTGTGTGTGTGTGTGTGTTCAAAGCTTTTGAATCAGCACTGTCGCCCCCACCACTCCCCACCTTTCCATTCACACCTTATTATAACCTTTGTTTACATCTTCTATTACTACAAAACAAAAGCTTTGACAAAGTAAACAACAGTTCTATCTATTTAGAGGGAAAAAGATAAAAAAGATTTATGACTCGCTTTGCTTATTTATCAAAGCTAAAACTTATGAACGTTAGGCCCCTCACCTTTTTTGTCACTCCATCCACTACATATGTATCATGTTACATGTATGTATGACTCACTATTCATTCATGCAATGTAAATTATGTAATGTAATGTAGTGCACGCTCATCTGACAGGTGCTACTTTGTTGCTCCCTTTGCCATGTATAAACCCCCTACCCCTACGTTTCAGAGTGTAAAGGAAATGAATTACCTCCCTTCTCTCTTCTCTTTCCTTCTGTCACTCTCTGCTTCTTTATTTATTTTTTTCACTAGAACAAAGAACACATAAAATTAATTTTATAAATATGATATATTTTAGCGTATATTTATTCATGGATATAATTTTGCGGGTTCAACGAATCTGCTTGCTACTTCTAATGTTCATTGTCAATATCTCATTTTTACTTTGCAAATTATAATTCAATGAGCAATAGGATTCCTTGTCCTGAGTTAGTCGTTACTATTATTATTTGTGTCTCTTTAAAGTAGTCATTCAAAAAGTGTGAAAGGTAAAATTTAGAAATAAGGCAAAGAAGATTCTTTCTTTTCCTTTGGTCAGAACTCAGAATTACTGCATTGGAGAGCCTGGCTCGTCTCTGTGCTCTGTTCCCTTTATGTGAAAAAAAAAAAAACACGCACAAAATCACATGCTGATTAAGAGTAAATATTGACAATGAAGCTACTGCAGTGCTGCATGCATGTGAGTCAGTGAGCGTGAGAGAAAAAAGTTGAGAATAAATACATATTGAAAACTAAAGATTTAGATTAACAGTTTAAATTTGAAGTTGCATTACTCTAAATTTTGGCATTTGTATATGTTGAGATTGATGTTTGCATTATTCTCATAATTTTGATAATCTAGTCTATTCAATAATAATATTTTTGTTTAAAACCCTGACAACATCTCTAATATAATAATATTTCTCTTATATGGGGTAGCAATATAACATTGATTTACATACTGTTAAAAATTTAAAACAGGTTTTTTGGTACAAATTTGTAATATCAATTGTTCGGAAAATAATGTCAAATCAATACTCATTAAAGTTTTGTTGTGACGAAGATGACTGGGGGAACACCAGTACGGTAGTTTTGATGATACAGACTTGGAATTATCCCTCTGTTCCTGAAATCGTTGTTGTTAATTAATTTGTGAGAGATTAGGATAGAGAGTGGGTTAATGAATGATGGGCCTTGAATCTTGATTAGACTAATGGTGGATTCTCTCTATCTCTAATTGCAGTTGGATGAAATGAATTCCGGTATAGTAGTTTGTTTAGTCCCCTCCTAGTGGACAATTTGTGACCACAATGCATTATATCTTATCCAATCTTTTATTCTCCCCATCCCACATGCATTGCTCCAATGTCCAATCTACTCCCCCCATTGACAATAGAGTAGTTTTTAATGTAAAAGGAAAAGAATAAATTATAATTATTAAATCTAATTATAAATGATTAAAATCCAATTATATTCAGTTAAGATCTATAATTTATTTATTTATTTTATTCTTCTACTTTTTAACAAAACTAAATTTTCTAGTGATCACATGCTCTTTTCCAAACACGTTGCCATAATAATGCTGACAGATATATATAATTTCCATTGCCTCAAGAATCTTTTTTTTCCCCAGGAAATCAGATGCGTCAAGAACCTCACCATATAAACATTAATTAAAGTTTATGTTTTGTACACCTGATTCAGATGGTGATGCAAGAAAAAACGACTGTAGGATCTATGAAATATGAGATAGATTCCTGTAAAACTGTCACGACCCTGAATTATAAATTGGAGCGCATTAATGTCACAATCTTTGAAAGATTATTTTCGTGAAAGGTTGTCGGATCAATGATCACTTTTTCATGCTTATTATTTAAAGGCTTATATTTTACAGATTTCCAGTGGAAGTTATCAGCCAGTACAAAAATATAATTAACGACAATCGATCTTAAACTTTGCTTTCTCAAAATTTCAAAGGGTCGAGCAATTATCTTGAATAAGATTATTCAATGATGACATATTTTTTGATTTGACAAATGTGGCTTTTTCAATGTATGAGCGAAACTAGACATCATAAGATTGTCATAAACCGAGTTCGATGTTATACTACTGTTTTCGAATGGCACTTTGAGGACTCTTAAGATTTGTAAAACTTCTGTGATATATATATTTATGAAATGCATAAATAGCATATTTAAGATGGTAATACATACTAACCCTTTTTTTGGTCCAAATCACATACATGTTATATGAAACTTAACGTGGGCAAATTGCCCACTGGAAAGTGCATCGTGGATGACTTCACTTGTTTTGGCTCTAAATATAGGTGGAATGTTGACCAACCACGTGGGCATGCTAGTTGAAGGTCATGCTTAATGTTATAATAACTTCTGCAAAAGATGTCTTTCCAGCTCAACTCATTTCGGAGTTAAGACCCTTTTGAGGGGACCATTCGGTCTGAACGCCCTTAAATCAAGGGCACCCTCTCAATAGCTTTTCGAGTAATGCTACTAAATGTTACATTATATATTCTTTGGTGGATTTTAAACGAGTCTCGTCAAATAATTTGAACTCACTTTTTATATTATGAAATTTACATAAAATTATTAAATAATATATTAAAAAAGTCTCGTTAACAAATATTTGCAACTTTAATTTTTTGAGGCATTAATTAAGGGCACCCGTGATAGTTTAGAGCAACTACTGTAATTATTTATTTTTTTTTAAAAAAAGTGACCCCATAAAGCAAAGTTGAGGGAAAAGCAATATGTGGAATGGAGAACAATTTATCTACTTGCGAATTGTACGCAAGGAGTGTTTCTATATGTATGAGTTACTGTGGTTTCGGTAATTATCACTAGTCACATGGACTTTTGATTCTTAACTTGTATGTATTGCACTGGAACGTTGTATGAAATGCTTAAAAGTTGCCTAGAAACATGAACTAATAATGAGAAGCGAACTCTTATTTTTTTGCAAACAATACCTTAAGGAATAACTCTAAAGTATGATTTAAATACATTGTGTTTATAATTAGTTGTTTTCGGTCTTTATGACAAAAGTTAGTCTTTAACTTTTATAATTTCATTTGTTTATATTTTAGTTCGTAGTTTCATTCTATTTGAAGTGTTAATTCCTATAATTTGTAAGACTTTAATCTTATTTGATATTTCTCTCTTTAAAATCTATGTGATAAACTTAAATAAAATAAGATTAAAATAAAATAAATAAATTCTCAAAATATAGAGATTAAGATTAAAATTGAAATAAATTATAGAGACAAAAAGTATTTAAGTGAAAAAAAATATTTTTTTTCCAAATTTTATAAAATATTATAGACATCATATAAATTAAAGTACTTTTTATACATCATTTCTTTCTTTTATTTATTTTATTTTATTTTATTTATCTCTCTCCTCTCCACATATTTTACATCTCTTTTATGGGTTGTGAAAATTTACTTATTTTTAAATAATCGTTATATACACATGAGATTTATATATTCAATGAAAAATAAAAATTAAAAAATAATAGAAAATATAGTGTGGGAAAAAAGAGAGCCTATTTACCGTTTTAATTAAAAAAAATTGTTATACTTATAAAATATTTAAATTTAAATTAATAACAAATAAATATTTATTTAATTTAATTTTACACATACGCTCTAAAGTAGCTAAATTTACACTACGCCAAAAATGAGATGTAAGAGCGGTTTTGCTTGAATTAAGAGAGCGGTTAGCGGTGTTTTAAAATCACGTGCTATCCAATGTCTTCATTTTTGAAAAACGGTTATTTAACCGCTCTCAAATGTATATTTTGGAGAGCGGTTACGCGGTTAACCACTCTCAGAAGTTCACCAAAGAAAGCAGTTAAGCGCGTAACCGCTCTACAAAATAAAATATAGTACTTTAGAGAACGGTTAAGACTGAACCGCTCTCACAAGTTAGACTAAAGAGAGCAGTTGACAGGTTAATCGCTCTCTTATGTCAAACTTCTGAGAGCGGTTCACTTATAACTGCTCTCCAAAGTTCACTTCTAAGAGCAGTTATTTTGTGAACCGCTCTTAAAAGTGGACTTTGCAAAGCGGTTCTTCGTGAACTGCTCTCCAAAGTTAAGAAATATTTTTAAATATTTTAATAAAATTGGCATAAAATCTTTTTTTAGCACACCTGGTAAATTATACAGTATTTAGAACTAATTCAAATAGAATATAAAATTCAAACAGAGCCTGATATACCAGAATTTCAAAGCAATTGCACATTGTATTATTCAATTACAACTCACATGTACAGATTACAATCAATCAAAGTCTCATATTTACACATTTTGCTTAGCCTTTACAGAAAATTGTCTAAATATTGTAAAAGAATACTAATAATCTATTGTACTTAATGTGTCCTTTAAATACCTATGGTACAAATATGAACACCACTCCTTTTGCAATTGACAAATTTTGTTGTCAAGAAATGTTGGCATCTACACCTTTATAAAGTACTGAAATACAAAGACCGGGAAAACAAAGCTTAATTAATTAAGTGAAATAATAAGCATATGGCAAACGAATTGGAATGTGTAAGATTATTACATTTACTGGGATTATAGTTTATCCATGGTGCAAAGCATCCCCAATGAATAGACACACATAATATCCACAGTTATCATTATTTGTTTGCTTGGAACACTATGTGGAAGATAAAAATCAAATAAAATAACATTAACTAAGAATGATATACAGTGCAATTACACTTTAGGTGAAAATTAAA